GACTATGTCTTATTCCTCTTGGTGTCTCCAGCGTCTAGTCCAGTGCCTGGGACAAAGGCGGGAGGTGCGCAGTAAATGTTGAAACCACCTGAACTGAACTGCCAACAAAGTACAAATACAAATAACGGGGCCATCACCACGCAGCACACCTTCTCTTGTCCAAGTGCTGAAGCGGTTTTTTTAAAAAATAGAAACTGAAGACAACTGACAAGCAGCCATGACTTGCTCAGATTTTTTTCTTAGAATTTTTGGCATCACTAATAATCCTAGAACCTTCGAGCCCTGAGGAAGAATTTAACAGCGAAATGGGTTAATGGAAAAATCCATTATGTTAAAGTTTCATAGAATTGTTCAGAGTAAGTCATTCAAGGTTTTTTAAAGGTTTTCCTGAAGGATATGCTGTTTGTTTTCTGTCGTAGATGTTCATTTGTTGCTTCTCAGTCATGTGAATTTAGTCGGCAGGACGGTGGGTTTTTTTAAGGGGGCTCAGGGGTTGTCGTTTTGTTAGGACCTCCTGAGTTCCGCCTCTGCGGTTTCGAGGGCATGTTTAGGGGAAGAAACCGGGCAGAGCAGCAGCTGGGGACCGGGCGGGGTCTGTCCGAGCATCGCCGGGTGGGTGTCGTTTCCCTGTGAGGCCTCTCTTTGCTCACAGTGCTTGGCATCCTTTTTCTGATCAGAGCATTTCGCTTATACTTTCTACACAAAACAGACTGCGATGTATCTGTTCTCAGCTTATTGTGCAACTGAGCTGAATACCAGTGATACCTACGGCGCCTCAGGCCTTTAACAGGAGAGGGGATACAGGCCAGTAAGTTCCCTCATCTCTTCACAGACCACAAAACACTCAAATACATTACTCCAGGTAGGTGTCAATGGCTCATAGAGTTACGCTTACGCTCCTGTTCCATCTGTCCGCATCAAGACTTAGAGGATTACGAATTGTGACCACAACTCAAAGGTAGTTTTATAGGCCTTAGGCACTGGTTTAGTACATGATACTTTAAAATCATTGCTCTCGCACAGCAAGGCTTTCTAGACGTGAAGACAAAACGACCATTAAGCAGAACCACATAAAGCTCTCTACAGATGATTTCTTAATTTCTAATTCTTGGGACAAAAAATATTAAGAAAAGAACTTTATACATTTTTGCTACCATTGTAGACTATTTCACTAACTTTTATGCTATTCTAATAGTACTTTGTCTTAAATGTTTTTCAAACTTGATGTATTTAATGTTATGCCTCAGAACTGAATAAAATACTGAATTTTTTCATTGTCATATGTTTCTCTACTATATTACAATACTCTCAGTCTTACAGTGTTGTCTAGGATTCCAAGGGTGGACGTTTTGAATGGAATATTTCGTTAATACTCCCATTTGGGGGGTGGGGAAACGTTGAGTGGAAACGTGTCCGATTCAGCTGGAGACATTCAGCCTACTGTCTTCGGAGTCCTGCGTAAAGGTCCAGCTAACAGCATTGCCTAAGTCCGTGCCTCCCCAACTGTAGAACTCTCAACACAGGTTAAACACCTTCCTTGCTGTTATGGGCTGAATTGTGTGTTCCCCTCCCCCACCCCAAATTCACTTACTGAAGTCCTAACCCCCAGGATCTCAGAATGTGACGGAATTTGGAGACGGGGCTTTAAGAGATAATTACATTACAATGAAGTCACTGGAGAAGCGCTGACTCTGATAGGACAGGTGCCCTTATTAGAAGAGGAGGTTAGGACACGGACACAGAGGGAAGACAGGTGAGGTCACAGTTTGAGGATGGCCATGGAGAGATGACTCGGGAGATTGGCTTGGTTCCCTGCTGACACCTTACTCTTGTACTCCGAAGCCAGTGAGACCCTGTGAGAAAATGAATTTCTGTTGCTGAAGCCACCCAGCTGGCGGTACTTTGTTAGGGGGGCCCTATCTTTCTAATACACCTTCCAATCCCCTAAATTCTGTACAATTCTGTTTTAGCCTAGCTCCTCTATGTCTATTTTTCAACTTACTTCTAAAATCTATCTGTATTTTTGTTGAGTCTAAATTAATATAGATTTTCCCAAATTGTTATAGAGCTAACCCGTCTCAAGACATTCCTGTTTATTTTAATGTGGTTATATTAGCCTCAGAAAAAAATTATCTGGAGCAGCTTGGAACCTGGGCAAAACCTCAGATCCTTCTATTAGAAATCTTCCTAAGAAGCACCCCTTCTCAGGGGTTTAATTTTATATATATTTGCCCTAGCTGGTTTGGCTCAGTGGATAGAGCCTTCTGACTGAAGGGTCCTAGGTTCAATTCTGGTCAATTCTGGTCATTTTTTTTTTTATTGATTTCAGAGAGGAAGGGAGAAGGAGAGATGGAAGCATCAATGATGTGAGATAATCATTGATCAGCTGCCTCCTGCATACCCCACACTGGCATCAAGCCCACAACCTGGGAATTGAACGGTGACTTCCAACTTCTTAGGTCAGTGCTCAACCACTGAGCCACTCTGGTCAGGCTCAGGGGTTTAATTCTTGATCCACAATCATTGTGCTCTCTTCCCTAGCAAACCACAGAATCTCGGAAAGGTACAGTATCTTATTCACCAACAGCATTTCTGTAGGCGGAGCATACTGTGCACTAAGGAGGGACTGATGGACAAGAGTCAAGGAAGGTCAGCTCTAGGTCAGATCCTGCCTTGGTCACCATCGGTCAGCAGTAGTTTGAGGGTCCCTGCGGCCTTTCCAGGAGGCCTGTGATTTTGAAGCTGTATTTTCCTAACACTAAAATGTTATTTGCCTCTTTCACTGTGTTGACATTTGCACTGATGGTACAAAAGCCTTGGGGTTAATGCCGCTGATTCTTAAGCCTGAGTCAAAGCCGTGGCTGCAAACTGTAGCGGGAATCTCTTACTCATCACGCCCACGTCGTCAGGAAACAAGCGTTTCCTATAGAAATGTGCATTATGAAGCAGTAAAAATTGTTCATTTTAAGTCTTTACTCTTGAGTGTCTTTAAGTATTCTGGGTGATGATATGGGCAGTCTGCATTCATCATTTCTACTGAATACCAAAGGACATCAGTTCTCTCAAGGAAAAGCACTGGTGTGATTACACTTGGGTTGCTAGCTGAACTCGTTTTGGTTTTTTTTCATGGAACATTTTCTTTTGAAAGCACAATTAAATTATTATTTGGATTTGGATATTTGGCCTTCAATTCACTTTCTTGTGAATTGAAGAAGTGAACCTATCATTTCAAGGAAAACAATGGCGATGTTACCAATGCTTAGATTTGAGCCTTTATGCACAAATTAGAGTTTGGCGAAATTTATATGCACCATCTGAGGTTGACAGCTTTCTAATACTTAAAATATTTTCTGATGAAATCCATGGTGGTATTAATTAATGGGATGTTTGAATGTTGTATGATGAAGCCACACTGCAACCAACGTTTCAGAAACGACCACTTCTTGAGTTTGGATCAAATTTTCTTCATATACTTAAAAAAACCATACACTTATACCAATAGATTGAATGCAGCAGTAGAATTGGGATTTCCCTATTTACTATCCTGGTGGACAGTAAATAGATTTGCAAAACATTTTCATTAAAATATTTAATGATTTTATTGTAAACATTTTTTAAAGTTTCAGTTCTAATTTCTAATACGGTAAATATCAATAGGTAACATATAAACAAAAGGTCTGTGGGGCCCTCAAAAGGTGGTAAGCACACATTTGTAATACCTTAATCAACAAAGGGGGAAAAAAGAATTCAAACCAAAATAAAAAACGTTTGTAAGAATATTGTAAAGGGGTCCTAAGGCCAAAAGTTTGAGAACTGCTGCGGTAGCTAACGCCTATAACGGTGAAAATTCGCTGAGGGATCCTTTCCAATAGGTCGGAATGAACGCGTCTTCGCATCAATCCTTTTCATTAAAAAAGACTCAAGAAGTGCAGCTCAGGGCAGCGGCGGGGTGGAGCCAAGACTGCGTCTCCGGTCTCCCTGGAAACCATCCTTCCGCGCTCCGTCCCTCTGCACCTCTGATTGGAGCAGGTTGGAGAGGGGCGTGGCTTTCCCTTCGTCCGTGGCCCACTCGCAGGAACGTGTTGACGTCACACCGGACGCCGTCGCCCCGAGCCCGAGGTTGCATCCCCCCTGCGGCCGCGGCGCTGGGGTCGCCTCCCAGGGCCGCGC